GATGGCGCATACTTATCCAGTAACAATTTAAAATGCAAACTAAAATATTTTAGTCATTACATAAACATAACTACAAGCACATGACAAAAAAAAATAATGCTTTTAATTAATACAATGCATATTGATCATAACAATTCCATACAAAACATTATTTTTTGGCAGATTTGCATACTCTCTACAAAGCTCTGTTCACCTTGTTGTTCAGCCTGCTGGTGCAAGATCAAATCAAGTTTTTATCCAAATGAATCACTATTATGATATGCTACCATATCAACCAAAAAGTATTTTTCAGTTTGTCCAAAAAAATAAAAAAAAATAATCCCTGTTTGTATGCTATTATTCATGCCATTGAAAAAACAATTATTTTTATTTCTGCGAATTAATAGATTTGTAGTTGCTCTCTTTGAGTTTATTTGAGATGGATGAATATATTCCAGAAGCTAGTCAGTTAATAAGGATTTATGTTATAGCTTGTGTAATTATGTAATTAAATCAAATTCATATTTCTCATTACAGGGGAAAACCAGACCACAATTTAAAATTCAATGAGAGGGATGGAAATATTAACAGAGTGAGTCACATGCCAAAGCCTTATGACGTCATCGATGGATTTCCAAGGTAAATTCAAATTTTTTAAGTTTAGTAAATGTTAAACCTTTCATTGATTTTAGTCTCTGCTCAGACACGAAACGAATTGTTCAGTTTGAAAAAGAGGACTTGTGGATTGACATCTGTTCGTCCATATCCACCTGTATCTCACACATACCTCCCCTATCAACTTCAAACTTAAAGCAGGGAAATCATCACCTGTGCATGGCTATAGCATATCAATGTTTACAAACTAGCGTCTACTCAAGAGCCTGTTGTTATCATCACTTGGGACTCAATTCCTGCGCATTTGTTTCATGATCCCATTCAAGATGGCCGAATGGTAGCCATTAAAAAAAACCCATAAAACTTTGCTGTTTTGAATATGCTTGTTTGAATGTTTTTTAATCCTAAAGTTGTAATTTTTCGATGGAATATGATACTATAAGTAATTCTCTAAAATTAGATGCTTAAAAAGTGTACATGGAAGATTCCATAATACACCATTATACCATAGTTGTCCCAAGCTTGACTAAGCGTCTTTCCCCATTTTTTGGGGAATTTCAGTTTTTGGGTTCACATTTGGCTAAGTGCCCATCCTTTCAAAAATGTTCCAATATTGACTGTCTAGTCGTAAAACCTGGTCTTTGAGCATTATTCGAATTTTCTGAATAGCGATAATCAAATTTGTATAATACAGCATGAAAATTGACTGTGAATATCTAGCAAATGTATAAACCATGGTAACCATGTTTCAACAAGGCAGTAAATACTTTATTCCATAAATCATGAAGACCATTCTCTGATTTTTGATAAACCACTTCCATGTTTCGTAACCAGAATGCCCTCAAGACTTGACCTATCAGGTGAAATGACAGTGTTGCAGGTAAAAT